CCTAAGTGAGAGAAAACTTAGAGAGAGAAAACGCAGAGAGGGTAAGAGAGACGAAGCAGAGAGAGAGAGAGAGAGAGCAGAGGAAAACCCCCTAAAAACGAAGGGGATGGAGCAGCGAGAGAGAGCAGAGAAAATCCTCCAAAAACGAAGAGAGTGTTGGCCCTGACAGTTGCAGAGAGACTCAGAGTGAGGGAAAGTTGCAGCCTGGCAGAGAGAGAGAGAGAGGCCGTTTAGGGAATATGGGGTTTGAAGAGATGTACAGAGAGAGAGACCAGTTCTGTAGGGTAGAGAGAGAAAATAACCAGAGAGTATGAGGGTTTTAGTTTACATAGTAGGGCAGAGAGACAGAAAATAACTAGAGAACCAGAGATATCCAGGAAGACGACTGAAGTCAAGAAGATGACACTTGTGTGAAGTACAGTAGGAGTTCTAGAGAGAGAAAGAGGTCTGAGAGAGAGAAAAGAAAAGGTCGCGTGAAAACAGAGGTCTGAGGGAGAATACCGTAAAGCAGAACAGGCTCTGAAAACAATGAAACTACATTACTGTACATTTGGGCCTCAATCCTCCACGAAACTGTATTATTGAGCTCGAAAAAAATACAAACAGGAGCACAATTTATAGGGTTATAAGATACGTAGTATCATATAAACTACTATATAAAAATTCAATTTATAAAGTTACAAAGATATGAAGTATTATAGAAATTAATGTATGCAGTAAACTACTTTTCTGATATGGTATAAGTAAAAAAAAAGAAAATATTGTTTTTAAACATCAGTTTAGGTTTCCTAAACATCAATGGAGGTTTCTATATTTTATACAACAGTCAGGTTTCTATATTAATTGTTGTTTAGAGTTTAGAAAACCTGGACTGATGTTTAGAAAAATATTATTCTTAAATATCAGCTCAAGTTTTTTAAATATCAATGCAGGTTTTATATTTCATAAATACTTTACTTTAATTGTTTAGAGTATCGACTCTATACAAACCACACCTAAAATAAATATATGAAGTAATATTACATGATATAGATCCGTACTAGGCCAAGAGAGAGGAGAGAAAAAATTGTTGGGAAATTTAGGTACGTACCAGGTTTTTTTACCGTTTATAATGGTATGGTC